AATCAAAATTGGGATCAAACTAGTGGCAAAGGAAAGGAAAATGTTGAGTTTAAAGCTTTGTGAGGCTTATATTTTGACTTATATAAAAAGCGTCAAGGTGAGTGCAATGCATACATAACATGATACATGAATGTTTTATACATCATTATGAAGACTTGTGAAAAGTCTACCTTGTTTATATTGGCATGACATTTATGTTATTGATCATATATTTTACATGTTCTAAATATGTCAAAAGTTAATATAGAATGCATTGATCACTAATTTATTTATGATGTTATATCATGAATGTTATTTTGGGTATGAAATGTCCAATGTTGAATTATGTTTATATACATCTCCATGGATGAAGGCTATTTTATAAAATTCAATACATGCTTAAATGTTTTGTTTGTATCTTGAAATCACCTTGGATGGTGATGGATTATATTGGACTATATGGGTTTCTCAAGGTAAAAATTGGAGAAAAATTCAAGTGACTTATTGGTGATATTTGTTATCTTTCAAAGATTATTTTGATGATTAAATTATTGGATTTATACTTGAAATGTGAAATTTCTATGATTAGCCATTCAAGCATACAAAATAAAAATAAGGGCTTAAGGTGAAATTATGGTTTTAAAGGTGAATTCAAGTAATTAAGGTGGAAATGAAGTGCAGGAAACATTGTAATTAGAATGTTGTATTGGAATGAATATTATGAATATTTTCCTACATTATATGCACATGGTTTAGATGGATTCTAACATGTGTTCTTGATTGTTTATGTTATGTATTTGATGTGTTTATAGACATCAATCAAAATTGGGATCAAACTAGTGGCAAAGGAAAGGAAAATGTTGAGTTTAAAGCTTTGTGAGGCTTATATTTTGACTTATATAAAAAGCGTCAAGGTGAGTGCAATGCATACATAACATGATACATGAATGTTTTATACATCATTATGAAGACTTGTGAAAAGTCTACCTTGTTTATATTGGCATGACATTTATGTTATTGATCATATATTTTACATGTTCTAAATATGTCAAAAGTTAATATAGAATGCATTGATCACTAATTTATTTATGATGTTATATCATGAATGTTATTTTGGGTATGAAATGTCCAATGTTGAATTATGTTTATATACATCTCCATGGATGAAATAAATATAAACTATATGCTTAAGTATGTCATTGAGAGACAGTGGTATAGTTGGCATGCCATAGAGTCCAGTAGGATGCATATTTGATTTAGCACTATAGTGTATATAAAGGACACTTAGTGCATATGGTGGGCATGACTTTATGTGTATTACAGTGGGTACGACTTTATGTGTTTTAGCACTTCAGTGCATATCTTGACTCGTGTACCCAGGGTTCTTATAGGTATATATTTGGGTGTATGGTTTATTGGTTAATAAATTATAAGTGATTGAGCTTATGAGCTTATGGAATAAATGACAAGTATATTGGTAATAAATTATATACATTGTTTATTTCATGTTAATATGTGTAACATGATGGTAATATAGGTAAAGTGATCATGATGCATTAAGTATTGTTATTTCTTTATATAAACATTGTATTACACTGATTATTATTATTATTGTCTCACTAAGTGTGTACTTAGCGTGTGATGATTTTCACGCGTAGGCAAAAAGTAAAAAATTGAAGTAAGGAATATCAAGCATTACACTCATCAGGAGTATATCTACATTATCAGTAATTATATCAACCTGATGTAGTTTAAATTTCTAGTTGGCATGTATATGATAATAATAGTTGATTTCTACTAGTTTAGATATAATTGGTAATAAATTATAAGGTAGTCAAGTTGGTAATGATGTATAATGGTTAAAATAAACAATAGATAGTTTATATTTGTGTTTGTAATTGTTAAATGAATTACAAGTTTAATAATCGGGTAAACAATAGAATAAAATGGAGATACTGATTAAGGTTTAATATAGGTAGTTTTTAAGCATCTATACTATTTATATGATGTAGTTATGAACTGCTAAGTTGCTACCTGAAATTGGATTCAATTTGGTTGATTAAAAATTACAAATTGATATTATTTGGTAAATCGATAAATGGTTTGAACTTGAATTTTAGAAAATCAGTTTGTTACATTCTAACTCGCATTTGAGAATTAAATACAGGTAAGGGTGTTATAATAATAATATTCATTCTTTTTTAATATATTATTTATGTGTGGGTGGACCGTGTTGAACTTCTCTATCTAATTTTTTTTAACTAAACCGACAGATTATTATGAATGGAGGAAGTAGTTATTCCAGTTGAACACTAATCTATTACAATGCAAAAACCAAACCAAAAAGTAAAGATTGGACTAAAAAATTAGAAAATCAAAAAGGAAACCTAAATTCTAAATTCGATCGTTCCTCTCCTCGCTCCTTAGAATGAATCGACAGATGAAGCACTTGCAAGAAGATGATAAAGAAAACGATTGAGCCTAGTAATCACCCATTAACCCATGAATCTACGAGGGATGAATCCATCGTTTGTCTTCCGCCACTTGTCTTTTAGGGCGTTCGAGAATTTCTTCAACCCAAAATAGATTTTCATCCCCTACGTTTTGAATTTATGGCCAACAGATTTGCCACTTTGTTTCCTTTTGGATGAGTCAAATGATACTCACATGTGATGAACGATTTGGCATGGTGTTGCACCTCTGAGCAGAAGTCTCAGTGAAAGTATTAGAGTACAATTATAAGGATTTGAGTGGGCATGTAGAAATTATGATTTTTATTCGAGTCTATTGTAAATGATTTACTTATTTATTCCGAAAATCAAATAAAAGAACTCTACTTCTGTAACTTAATGTTTTTCATATCGTATATAATTTATTTTACATTTTAAGTAAGTCATATTTTTTTATTTCTGGGATTACTTTGGTGATTCAATGTGACATCTTTGATTTGAACTTGACTTCTAAAACGAGTTGAGGGTGTTACAATGACCTTCATTATAAATTGGTTCCTAAATTTTAAAATATTTTATATTAGTCCTAAAATTATCAAAATCATTATATTTTGTCATTCTTTTTATGTGTTAACTCTATTAATTAAAAATTAATTTATTTTTTAAGGTCATCTACATTATTTTAGAATGAGGTCATGAATTATTTTTTTAATTAGTAGAGTTAATGGCATGTTAAAGGAATGATCAAAATAAAATGATATTGATAATTTGAGGATTGATATAGAATATTTTTAAAGTTTAGAGACCAATTTAAATTATAGGTCATAGTTTAAGAATCACCTATGCAATTGTCTCTTCATTTTTTAACACATAAATAAAGAAATAGTTAGATTTAAAATTAACTACCCACTATATAAAACCAATGGCATGCATGGTTTATGCCCACCAACTTAAAACCTCCTAGGCAAATTTGATCTTATGGTTCTCCATTCTTTAAGAAATTTTATAATAATCTATAACATAATAACTTCTTTACCTGAACTACCTTTCATAATAACACTTATCTATTCGAAAAGATGTTTCAAATAACTCAAAGCTCTAATATCGTAATGTAAAATCCATTATTGTGTGTATACATACATATATATATATATATATATATATATATATATATATATATATATATATATATATAGGGTTAGGATCTATTTACACAATGTACAATTTTTTAGTTTTTAATATGTTTAGGATCGGTGGATAAGTGAAAATAGATGACTAAGATTGACTCCTTGTTTCTTTTTCAGTGAATATCTTCTCGTTTCTTTTTCAGTGAATATCTTCTCGTATTTTACTATGAATCTCAGTCATCTATTTTCACTCATCCAACGGTCTTAAATTTGTGTAAAACTAAAAGAGTTTTACATTGTGTAAGTGGATCATATCCCATATATATAGGATAGGATCATATTAAACAATGCAAAACTCTTTTAGTTTTATACATGTTTAGGATCATTGGATGAGTGAAAAATAGATGGCTAAGATTGACTCATTATTATTTTTTCCAGTGAATATCTTCTCATTTCCTACTGTTAATCTCAGCCATCTATTTTCACTTATCCAATGGTCCTAAGTCTGTGTAAAACTAAAGGATTTTTACATTGTGTAACAGGATCATATCCCATATATATATATATATATATATATATATATCTCACATTAAAAATTTTAGGTTTAATACAAAAATAAATGCTTAATTATTTTTTGTTCTGTTTTGATATTTAAATTTTATTTTATTTTTAAAGTCATAACTAATTCTTAGCTTAAGTTTTATTTTAGTACCCCACTGTTAAAAACATTCAACTATCTTCTTACTCCTATTTTGATCACTAAAGCCTATTTTTTTTTAATTTAGCTACTCAACTTTCAAATTGCTCATGTTTTAATCCCTCTAATTTATTTTGTTTATAATTTTTGTGACATTACTTTTTTTTACTACCTTGTCCCATAAAAAATATCTATTATTGGCTTTAAAAGTCAAATTTTTAGATTTTGACCATAATTATTTTAAACATTTTAAATAATTAAATTTTATAAAATATATATTTGAAAACTACTTCATTGAAGATTTTTAAAATATACTTTTACATAATTTTATCAGTAAAAAAATTTAAATAATAATTTATCAATTTAAAAAAAAATTGACCAAAAAAATCAACAATGGACATCTTCTACAAGGTAGAGGGAGTATTATTTTATTAATACATAATTAAAATAAAAAATTTAAATTTGAAAGTTTGAATTATTAATTTAGGAGTAATTTAAAAGTTAAATAATTGAAAAAAAAATTAAGTTTTAATTACTAAAATAGGAGTGAGAAGATAATTGAGTGATAAATTATGTAATTTAATCACAAAACGTATTACATACGACAATTTCATTAAGTTTTTAACGATAAGATATCAAAACGAAACAAAAAGTAAACATTTTGTATAATTTTTTAGAAAAAGAAAATTTAGATATCAAAACAGAATAAAGTAATAGTTTAGATACCGGACGTTGTTATGATTCAAAAGTTGGACAAAGCCTATGAGAAAAAACCAATTACATATGAGTGAGGTCCGTATAGTTTAAGCAAACCTATGCATTAATAAGACTCGCATTTACATCCTTAATCTACACACCAGTGTCGAGCATTAGCAATTCCAATGTTCACACTCATCTCGTGGCGCGGCGCTTATGCTTAAAATGCCAAGAGAAAGAAGAAAAAAAGATAGCCCTACTCATATCCACAAACAACATACTGGTTTCATGAGTTCTTTCGCCTCGAACTTGCCTTAAGACTATCTATTCTGATTCTAACCTCTGCAGGCAAGTCACTAGAGTTTCGGGTCTCTGAGCTTTCTGAAAGTCTGCTTTGTGCTACATCACGTTCCAAGCTTTCTGACCTTCGTCTTTGTATTTGTATTCTATCATGTTCCATAGGTCGAAATCTAATCTGAAATGCCCTATAGGAAAGTAGAGGTAGTAGCGCAGAGATAACAAGAAGGGTGGTGAGCCAATACAGAATGCTCGGAGCACAAGCTTCAACAAGAACCTTGTATGCCGTTGTAGATAATGTCGATGGGATCGAACCATAAACCACCAGGAATATATACCAAAGGGCAATGCTTCCCCATATGAACAGATGCTGGATCCATGTGAAGTAATTGATCGAAAGTGCCATCTGGCAGTTTACGGTCCAAACTACACAAGTATACATTGTCACCCCTAGAATCGAATAATCAGCAACTTGACCGTCTTTGCGGAATGCTTGACCAGTTATTGAGTTTGCTGTTAAGAGGTATATGATTATGGAACTAAGAAGTCCATTAAACATCCAGCCAAGAATAAGGACCCAGTTGAAGAGGAGATTTTGAACGCCCTCTTGATATAATAAAGGATACTGCGAAAATAGATCGACATTCTAAGTTCATTTGCACAACAGATGGCAGTTCGGAATAATGATAAACAAATTTCTTCGAAGAGATATTGCAACAATGACATATATATACAGAATTGTTTACCTTCATGCAAAGTCTGGCTGAAACATCGTGATCAAAAACACCAAGAGCGATTACAGGAAGTGAAGTGAAGAAGACGTTGTAGGATGACATGTACCAGTCATTATAAGCAGGTTGACCTGAGAAAGAAGTGTATGCCTCGAACCAAAACAGAGTAAATCCGAAAGTGATGTTCTTGTAGAAAAAGTAGCAGATCTGCAATGACAGGAAAGAGAACTACGATTTCACATTTCTTTTTGATAATAAGGAATGTCTCATTAAAAACCCCTTCATATCCGTCAAGCAACAAAGACTTGATGAACATTGGAAGGAGGAAAAGAGTGCCTTAAAAATTTTATTGCACAAGACCCAAGTACAATAAGATCACAATACCACCAAAACCCTTGGCAGCCCTCAACACTGTGCAAAGATGCACTACAATTAAGCATAAGTAATTACCCTACAGAAACAACCACCTTATATGACTCAGCCAGGAACAAACTTATACAATGACCTAAGCTATCAAATATTCCCTAGAAACAAAACAACAACAAAAATAAATCCCCTCCACTAGACCAATCCTTAGTTTGGCAAATTTATCCGCTTCCCAATTAATTGATCTCACCACATGACGCACAATGACACCTTTATCTACCACAATCTGTGCAATATCTTTGACTAAGGATAGGAACATCAGGGTGGAACTAGCTGGATTTTTTATCCAATCCACTGCCACCGCACTATCGGTTTCCAAAATAAGCCTTCGGTTTGCCGACATCCCCAAATCGAAAAACAAATTCAAACCTCTTTCACCGCCATTAACTTTGCCATAATAGGAGGTCTAGATCCAATACTTTCAGAGAACGAACCAGCATCACTCCTTTCTCATCTCTAATCATCCCACCAATGCCAACCTTCGACCACCACTTATCCATAGTGTCGTCTACATTCGCTTTAACAAAACTGGAAGGTGGAGGAGACCAACTAGCTACCTTTAAAGGCCTCTTAACAGAGCTCATCACACGATCAGCTAACGCAAGGTCCCCCACCAGGCTATCAAAGGAGACCTTCAGATCTGGAAATTTTGAAGAAAACCAAGCTGCCACTCTATACCTCGATAGAAAAGATAACAGAACACAATCCAATTTCCCATTATTAAAACAATCTCATTTCTCATTTTCCAAATCGACCACAAAACGACTCCTGAGATGAACCCCAAACACTTGATTTAGGTACAAGATCTACCCAAACTAAAAATAAAGCTATAGGACACTCCGGAATTGCAAAGGAAACCTCCCAACGACGCAAAAAGCTAGCCCATAACCCCCAAGACACATTGCAAGAAAAGAAAAGGTGAGAAACCGTTTCTTGAACCAACCCACAGAACGGACACAATGGATCTTCTATACCTTGCACCCCATGTTTTATTAACTCTACTTTGACAGCAATCTTCTTGTGCTCCACTTGCCAAACAAAAGATTCAACTCGAGGAGGAGCCGCACCAGCCCACACGTTACTTTCCCACGGAAAACAATCGACAACTCTACTAAGAAAAATTATAAGGCAAGATTTCACTGAAAAGCATCCATCTCCTTCTCCTGTCCATGCTAGACTATCATCAATCAAAGACATAGGACAAAAGTTATACAACAAAGCCATAAACTCATTCCACTGCAACATCTCCCAATCAGCTAAGTTTCTTCTCGTGGCGATATCCCAAAAACAGCCTGACAAGTTAGATGTCCTGAAATCGGCAATCTTCCACTCCTTGTTCTTTGATAATGTGAACAAACGAGGGAACTAAATCTTCAATGGAACTCCGTCCAACCAAGCATCGTGCCAGAACTTGAATGAGTCCCCCTTGCCCACCTTAAGTTGAAAATTGCTCTGCAAACATACTCCAAACTCATCCTCCGAGCAACAATTTTTTCACAACCCATTCCAAATCCAAGAAGCTTTATAAGAGGTCGATTTCACATTTCTCATTCTCCAATAAAAATAACACCAATTTTAAGACAAGAATCTTAGGTAAAAGGTAAAAAGACTACAACAAAGATTATCAAAATAATGGGATTATCAGAGTTTAGCTATGCAACAATAGGAAAACCCGAAGAAAACATCTTACCATCATCGATATTCTCCTGTAACACCAATGACCATGAACCAACAGTAAACGTTCCAAAAAACGAAATTGAGCTATTGCAAAATCACTTGCCATAACAGCCTGTAATTCATGATAGTTAATAAAAGTTGGAAACCAGACAAACAGTTAGATAGCTTGAAGACAAGTTACGGTCTAAAAAAATATGACGGTTATGGAAGTAGGAATCAGCAGAAATCCGATTCTCAAAAGTAACAAACAAGATAATCCAAAGTACATAGCTGCTAAAAAATCCTGATCAATCTGCAATAGTTTGTCACCAACATTTTAAAATATCCATAAAGTTCTGGTTCATTCTTCCCCTCATGGAGGAAAATTCATAGAAAAACCGCGAATTATATCATATCAAATATTCCTATATAAAGTAAATGATCAAGCATCACAAAGCGGCGCAGAAAACCAGGTTCTTGAAGTGGAAGCAATCAAGAGCCAAGATGATGCTGATAAGAGGGTCGATGGGAAAAAAATCACTTCATTCATAGGCATATATGAACCTAACAGCAGCAAACCACTTCTTGAGAAAGGACATCATTATATGATTGGGCCTCCCTAATCCCCAAAAAAGAAGAAACAAGAAAATGTACAAATTATAAGAGAAGACCTATGTTACATTTCTCAAGTGTGTCAGATATAGGTATGTATCCAACACGTGTTTTCAATTTTTTTTCTATGCATTTGGCAGGCTCTTGGAGGGTCATATCCCAAACCCATAACCTATACGTGCAGGAACTAGTATCAGACAAGGATACTTCAAGAAAAATAAAGAGTAGGAGCAATATAGGAGAAGACTACGAAAACAGAGAAAAGTGTTTTTACCCGCATCCCTTCGACTCCACTGATGCCTACTCCAATATCAGCCTCTTGAAGCATGCCAACATCGTTTGCTCCATCACCAATTGCTAGTGTCGTTCTACTCACAACAGATTTCACCAGTCTTGTAATCTGCATATATACTAGAATTCTATCAAATTATTTTCATGTCAATTACTACAAAGTCCGCTAATCTTTCTGAAAATCCCATAGCATACTTAATCCTGTAAACATGATACTTACAACAGCCTTTTGTTTCAGCGAAGATCGACAGCATATAACAGTAGCACAACCCATCGCAAGATCCATAAAATCGTTCACCAGAGTGTTGTCCATAGCAAAAGTCAAGGACTTGCCATCAATTATCAAACCAAACTCAACCGAATTTTCTTTACCCATTTGAGATTTTCCGTCGTGTATTTGCTTCTTTACACAGTCAAGAGAAGCCTAATGATAATAATAACAGATTCAGATTTTTCCCATTACAGATTGCATTATCATTTTGGAACAATGTAGTCCATACCTCAGCAGTGGCCTCCTTATCCCCATGTTTGTCCAAGTCTTCAATTTCCGGCAACTCTAGCGTGATCGCAATTTGTTTCATTCCATGCCTTAGTAGACCGCATGCATACCTGTGGAAATGTAGTATTTATAGAATTAACATTCATTAAACTATAGACAATAAGTTCAATTCAACTTGTTACCATACCCGATATTAATAGCAGTTCCCCTTTTGTCACCTGTCAAGACCCATATTCCGATTCCAGCATGTGCAAGCTTGTCAATACAGCCTGGGACCTATGTACTGGAGAAACATAGCAGTTTATACAAACCATAAGTAATTTAGAATAAACAAGAAGACTGGTTTATGTACACAATTTGGCACTTATTTTCTTTGTTAAGATATTGCACGTTTCAATATAAATCAATAAGATGGTATATTAAAAGTAAGTATTGAGAAAAGCTCAGTGATTTAGGAAGTTTCTAGAAATTATAAAAATGATAGTTTCGACGAATCCTGAACTAGTTTAACTGACCCCCTTTTGTAATTTGTCTTCAACTGCTGTGGCACCAAGAAGAATTAAGTCCCTTTCAATCCGATCAGCCAACTCATCCACCAAGACATCTAGATCGCAGTTACAGAAGTTTTAGCCTTCAAAAATTCTTGTTCCCATGTTCTATACTCATCATCATCAAGCTCACGATATGCAACTGCCAAGGTTCGTAATCCTGCCTCGGAATATCTTTCAATATGCCCTTTGGTCTTTTCCTCAAATGCCCTATCTTGTTTCAAAAGACTTTCAAATATTACACTGAATACATAGATAAACAAAAATACAACATTAGCTTACCTATTTCACAATTTGATAAAAAAGTTACCACAATATATCAGCATGAGGAAGTGTGGCTTCAATGTTCTGACCTGTCCGCACCCTTGGTAAGGAGCAACAACTGGTTCTCCGGGTTCCTTACGATTACGGACATCCTTTTCCGAGCACTACTGAACTCCAACACATGAAGAAGGTAGTATACTCTGCAAAATAGAAACCGAGTCATTCACATGCAAAGCAGACTTCAGTCACAACAAATAATTTGCCCTGTAAACACTACCCAATTTCTTGCCCTCACCGAAACTGTCGGGAGTGATGATGATGTATGAAAAAGAAAATGTAGATAGATTTGTTCCCTCAAGATTGACAATATGCATGAAGTGATTAAGAACATGGTGTGAAAAGTTACAAAAAGGTGGTGGAAGAGTCATCTTAGGAGATAAACTCTTGCTAGTTCTATCTTTTAAAAAAATTGGTGTCTACAGCTGCCCCTCTTTGTCTTTTTTCGTGGAACGAAAAATAAGACAGATAAAAAGACACAAATTATCATTCAGTGGAGTTGAAGAATAACTCCCGGTCGAATTGAGTTGCAGATGGCTCCTCTGTCGCGAAGTCGAGTCCATCTGAAATGATTTGAATCAGAATGTGGCTTCTCGTTGTAGTCCACTTTGGTCTTCTACTCGGTTTAAAGACCTTGGCTAAAAATTCGACTGGAAAGTAATCCCTTGACTCCACAATGTGGTTGATATGCTCTCGAGCTTAATGAAACCGAACTCGAAAAGTCTTCGTTGACAGATAGTTTTTTTCTTTTGATGTTACAATCTTGCTTCCATGTGGTGTCATGTGGTTAAAACACTTCATCGAATTCTTCATAAGAAATTTCATGTTTATGAAAATGCTTAAAAAATGAAATGTAGATGCAAAATGCAAAAATGCATGAAATGTTCGGGGCATTGATCCAGAAAAGTGTCTATTATTATAAATAATTCTTATTTAGACAGAAATGTTTTATTTTGTAAGAGACATAAAAAACAATCAAATGTACGTTCGGACTAAATCCTCTAGACCCCGAACAGTTTCTAGTAGGTTGACAAATCTTCTGCCTTCATCTGTCATTGGTTGAATGCCTTGTCGAACCACTCCAGCTTCCCTTACCAGGTCGTGAAGATGGCAGCTACTTTTTGCACTTGATCCAGGAAATCTCGGATGACTGCGTCTCTAGATTTCACCATTTGTTGTGCTTGCTCCCAACGGAAACGCCACTGCAGACCTCTGTCGAAAGGTACTATCTGAAGCTCGGCTGCTTGCTTCTTGAATCCATCCACAATAACTTCTAACTCGGATATTGTTTTTCCATCTCTCTCATGTTGTTTTTCTAGGTCAGCCATCTGGATTCTCAAGCATTGATTTTGATGCTGACTGTCTGCTAAACGCCTCTGAGTAGTTTTCAACTGTTCTTTCCAAGCTCTTTCATCAGACCCCTCGAACTTTCTTTTTAAGCTATGAACCTCGTCTTTCCAGTATTCAAAGGTTACTTTCCACTTGGAATTATCCTTGACTTTATCTTGATACCATTTTCTCAAATCCTCGAGCTCAAAACAGACTCTTTTCTGTTTTCTTTCCAGCTTGTCTGCTCTATCTTTCTGAGATTCGGTATCTAGCTTCCATTGATAACGTTCAGCTTCTAGTTCTTTAACCTTCTGTTTTAGCTCGTTATTCACTGCTTCAAACTCCGCCTTAGCTGTCTCAAGTTCAGAAGGGATATGCCTGAGATATTCCTCTATAGTCCGGGTGTCTTCACATTCTGACACCGGGATGTTATCATTCTTTCTCAGTCTTTGCTACTCCACATATTCCGGAGTAAGCATGTCTCTAGCAGCCACAACATCCATTCGGTATACTTTCTTCCACGAATCAACTGCTTCCTTGATCCTCTTCTTATAACTGTCACCATTATACACAAACTCTGATCTAGCTAGCCCGCATGTTACCGGGACAAAATGACATGCCTCATACTGTCTAAGTGCTAACAACGAAGCATACCCAACTGCACCCCAAAGTTCGAGTAAGGTCATAGTATCAGAATCCTCACACTGAAAAAGAACGTCACTGAGGAACAACCAGGGGGCTCTCCAAGTAATATCCCGATCCTGAAGATGTGTAAAAACTTTCATCCACTTTTTCTTTGAAGCATCTTCATGCCATTTCCTAGTGATGAAGTCTCCCAAAGGTGAATAAGTAGTGCTAAATCGACGATAGGCTACCCCATTAGTCTTCCAAAAGTGGCTGTGAATCCAGACTTGAAGGAGCTGAATACACCCAACGAATTTTCTTCCGCCAGTTCTTCTGCAATGGTTGAGAGATCGAAAGGTTTCGGATAAGATGGTCGGTGCTGGGTTGACTCGCCTTGGAAATTGTTCGAATAGCTCTACCACGGCTGCGTCGATACAGCCCAAAGTCTTCGGAAAGATAACCAGACCGTACAGACCTAGTGCAAAAAGGTCTATAATCTTCCACTCATCATGGTGGTTCTTCATTAGTTGCCTTATGTGAATTCACTCGATTTCTTCCCCCTTACCTTTGTGTCGAAGTCGATCAGTCACCCATTTTTCATCAACCCCTGCAATCTTAGTTAGTCCGTTCTTGAAAGGCTCTCTTGATGTGTTTGATATATGCCCTCTCTAATCTGATGTTTTCGCAGTGCAGTAGGATAATATACTCTTCAATTGTGGGCACCATGTCCTCCCGGTTAAAGGTGAAACAACTATATCCCGGGTTTCAGAATTGAATTAATGCTCGGAGCAGGGGCTCATCAGTCTTGACATGGAGTAAGAGGACAATATCACCATATCGTTGGCTGAACTTCTGCTTTCTGTCATTCCCTCAACTGTCCCAAATATTTCGCAGTTCTTGGACATCATTTTGTTTCAGGCTAGATGCGTAACTAACAAACTTTGACACATAATTTCCCTGAAGACTGTCTCCCTTCTCTTTCTGAGTCTTCTCAGACCATAGTCATGCCTCAGCATTTTTAATCTCTTGTATTACAACACTTTTGTCCATTAATTCGGATTTATTTTGTGTTTAACAAACATTTTTTAAGGATCAATAACCTCTTGTTATGAAACAAATGCTAGAAAACAAACACAAAGGCAAAAAGATTAGTAAAATAAAAATAAAAATAAAATGACGAAAGAAAAAAAAAACAAAAAAGAAAATGGTTAGGGTAAAAATATCTTAGGTTTTGGAATGTGGTTTCGGGGTAGGCTCTAATTCTCCATGGTTTCCCGGTTTAGGTTCTAAAAACGGTACCCGAGTTCTCCTTACTGGTGCCCCCTTGGGCTTGCCAGACCCTTAGTCCTAAACCCATCACAGGCTTGTGTAGACTAAGTTAAACTCGAGATGACACATTCTCTTATGCCCGCACGGTGAATAAATTCACACGAAGACATAAGGTATATGAATCCCGAAGGCTACTTGCTAAGCCCGCACGGTGAATAAATTCACACGAAGGCGTCGCTTTCACCCCCACTTAAGACAGGGTTTAGAGCTCGAGTATAGAGCCTTAAATGAAAAAGATTTGAAGGCTGAAATAACGAGAAAACGATTAGTACAACTATTTACCCAAAAATATAATCAAAAGTAAATAAAAAAGAATCGAAATGTTACCTTAAAATTTAAACTTACCCTTTTCGTTAAAAAGACAATTGAAATTACCTTAGCATGACTCACTTACCTGTCCCCAGCGGAGTCGCCAAGCTGTCGCAACCGTCTTTCGGTTGGGCCCCGGAATTGGGCTTCGACTTAGGAAAATGTGGATTGGAGTCACCACCGATCTTTTATTTTAAGATAAATAGGTAGATCGGATACCTTATTTCTTATCTGATCTGCGTCTTACCAAAGATGTATCGGATTCGGGAGTCGGTTACAGTCAAGGAATGATTAGCACCCTTGAACTGCCCTTTCGGTACTATGTAATTTTCAGTTGTCTTAAATTAAGAAAATTATAAGTTAAAATTAAAAGGTAAAAATACGATCCCAATTACTTACCTTAGATTGATTTGAAAATATCCTCTTTTATTTTTCTGTTGAAAATTACAAGCGAATCTTTGGGACTTCTTGCGTATTTGCTTTGGGTATTTTTTTGTGTGTGCGTAATCCCGTATGATAATCGTGTCTTACAAATGGGAAGGATTACATGTATTTATAGTGAAAAAAACTAACTAACAACAGAATCCTAATGCAACTAGACTCCTTACTCGGTTGTTGCACCTTTGTTGGTGTGGTTGTTGCTTTAAAAGATATGGTGGTGGAAGAGTCCTCTTAGGAGATGAACTCTTGCTAGTTCTATCTTTTAAAAAAATTGGTGTCTACACAGTGAGAATAGCTTCTCCCCATAAATACTTTGGTACACCCATAGTAAACATAAAAACACGAGCCACGACTACAAAGTGTCTGTTTTTCCTCTCAGAAACCCCGTTTTGTTGAGGGGTGTCGAGACAAAAACTTTGATGTATGATTTCTTGCTCATAAAGATAAGGGCTTAGGATAGAATTAAAGTACCCTCTCCCATTATCAATTCTAAGGGTGTGAATTTTGGAATTGAACAGAGTTCAAATCATTGAATGAAAACTTTTGAAGACTCTAGAGACTTCGGTTTTTTCTTTGAGGAGATAGACCCAAAAAACTCTAAGGTGGTCATCAATGAAAGTTATGAACCACCTAGCCCCTGTGACATTTTTTACTCGACTGGCTCCCCATAGATCGCTGTGGATTAAAGAGAAAGGTTGAGATTGAATATAAAGTTTCAAAGGATCAGGGACACGAGTATGTTTAGACAATTGGCAAACTTCACAATTCAAGGAACTTATTTTCTTATTTAGAAATTATAGAGGAAACAGTTTCTTCAAGTACATGAAATTAGGGTGTCCTAGGGTGCCATAGCATGATAGAATCTTCTTCTGATGTAGATAAGGTCATCCCTTCTTGTGAACTGTTTTTGTTCCAAACAAATAAGCTATCATCAACTTTAGCAGTACCAATCATCTTCCCCGATTTCTGTTCCTGAACCACATAACCGAAAGCAGAAAATTCAACAAGTACTTTCTCATTCTTGGTAAGCTTGCTAATTAAGAGTAAATTACAAGAAAGATTTGGAACATATAAAACTTTATCAATGAAAAAATTTCCAGTAAGTCTA